ATCTGTAAGACCATAAAGAGCATCTTCTCTCGGAATGAAGAGGGTAATAACCCAAAAATAAGTACACAGTGCTTCACAGATGCACAGTGAGATTAAATGATGGATTTATATTCCATTTCTATCACGGACGTGTTTTGAAGTCATATTTCAAGATCCTGTGCAAACTGCAGAAGAAAACCCCACCACTCCATCATCAGTGTGCATCCTCATGCACGTCCTCAGCTGACACCATTCTGCCAGAGGAGCTACTGCATTTCCTCGCTATCAAGTCCGATCAGGAGCTCCGAACTTAACCAAACCGAACCCCCAGGCCCCCTGCAGGGAAAGAAGAACTAGTCTTGGTAGCTTCTCGCAAGAGCAACAGGAAGCACAGGATCTAATCCTCTGGTATCAGGGCGTGGGCAAAGGCTAAGTGGAGAATTTATGGCCAGATAGAAATGTCCCAGAACTGGGCTGCCCAGGACAGTAGCCGTTGAGCACTGGAAAAAATACGCAACTAAGGAATTTGTATTTATATTTAATTTTAGTGCAAATAGTCATATGGGTAAGTGGCTACTGTATGGGACAGTCGGGTGTAGAGCATGCAGAACAGGACAGTGTTCCATTGAAAAACCGGATCTAGAAGTGTGATGGTTGGGAAGCATGGAACATCACTGAGGCCTGCCTGGTAGCCCCTGAGGGCTGGGGACACGGTCCAGTCCTGGAATTTTGTATCTCAAAAGTTCTTAGGCCCAACCAGCTGATAAGTTTATTTTTCCTAAACTAAAATGTTCCTCAACTAAATGATGGTGGGGAAAGGTATGTTCTGTCTCAGCCAAATCCTGGGGTCCAAGGCAGCTGGCAAAGCATCTTAATGGTTTTATACATATTTTCTATGTACAACCATCCGTTAATGCCAGTTACACGTAGAGTTTTGTTTAAACACCAGGATTCTTAGGCTTAAGTACACCGAACACCCAGGCCTGGGAGCTGCCTACTGTAGAGTGGAATGTTCCTGAACTCACCAACCTACAGTTCTGTGGCTGCCCTGCGATGTTCTGAGATACCGACTTCCCTGAGGGGCTGGGGGGGAGGGGTCACCGGGACTGAAGCTGGAGGGCCTGCCAGGTGGTCACACTGTTCTCTGCTGTTGCTGCAGCCGAGTTGTTAACATGTGCAGAGCCAGGCTCTAAAATGCTATTGAGAAACTGAGCCCCACTCCACACACTTGCTGCTCAGACCAGGAGTGCTGCCTCGGGGAGGGGCCCGGGCGCGCCCTTGCCCCAGGGCAGTTGGCTCTTCCCTGTCTGGCCTTCAGTGTCCCCATGTGAGGACTAAAGGTGTTGAACTAGTTCAGAGGTTATGATTCGGGAGATGAGCCCAGCCCACAGCGGAGGACTGGCACCAGCTGTGGGTTATCAGGGCGGGTTGTGTTGCAGGTAAGAGCTGAGCCCCAGCGGCTTCAGACAGGAAGGGAACGGTCTGTTTCATGGAAGCAGAGCCCAGAGAGGGTCAGTAGCAAGGCCGCCCAGGGCCTTCTTATCGCTCGCCCTGGCTTCTGGGGTGTGGGCTCCCCACTCAGCGTTCTCACTGGGCCACAGTCCCTGTCTCACCTGAGCGTGTCTACCTGTGGCCAGAAAACGGGCTATACTGGGTGGTCTCAGCTGACCTGACCACCATAAGCTGGGACCATGGAGTCCCCTTGAAGGCACGTGGGCACGTGGAGGACACCCGAGCAGAAATGTGGACAGTGGGAGGGGGAGTTGGACACCATGTGACAGTGAGTGCCCGCTCAAGGTGAACTCGAGTTTTTAGGTTTTCTGGGGCAAAGAATCACAAGATGTGCCCCCGCTCTGCCTTTTCCTACTCAGCCGTAATCAGCGGGTTGTGGGCTGTTGCTGATCAGGCCCAAGGCCTTCACTGCCCTACGGTCCCGTGGGTAACCTGTTGCACCTTCATGACATGCCTAGCCCGTGTTGGTGCCTGGTTTCGTCACTCGATAACCTCCCGTCCTGCTGAGTCACTCCAGGCCAGCACCATGCTGGTTGCCAGGAGGGAACACAGAACACGCACCTGGCTGTGCCTACGAGCCGTAGGTTCTGGCCTTTCTGAAGTCTGAGGGAAAGCGTGCGAAACATAGTGCTGAGTCCGAGCAAGGCCCGCAGCGTGTGTAAGGAGTCTTTCTGCCGTTGCCTGGGGGACCTTGGGGAGCTCGGCGCCGCAGACGTGCGCTCGCACGGGGCCTCCGGTGCTGTGGGCCCTGCACTGCGCGTGTAGAGAGTAGAGAAGGTGGCTCCCAGTCTGCGGAGGCCCGTCAGCCCCTGCGGAGAGGCCGAGGGCCAGCAGGAGTCCTGCTGAGACGGGTCCGGCCCAGGGACACAGGACAAAGGAAGAGGGAAAGATGGGATTGGGGAGTGCAGAGACAAGGGACCCCAAGCCCCACGACCCGGCCTAAGGGAGGCAGTGGAGGGACGGGCTCAGTTGGAACATTTGGAGGCAGCCAGCGGGACAGACGGGCTTGTGGCATCAGCCAGCACGAGGGATGGGGCTGTGTGATCAGGTTTGAGGTGGGAAGGTCCTGAAAACGCTTCTGAGTGGGATGTGCACTTTCCCCCCGATGGATCGAGGGCAGTACCACACGTGGCCTGGAGGTGCGCTTCACTGACAGAAAAGGGAGCAGGGGAGGAGGGGCAGGTTTGGGGACAGCGGGCAATTGTGACCACAGCAGTGGGCTCAGGGGAGGTGCGTTAAACAAGGGAGAAACCTTTCTGAAAATGTCCTGTTTTTTTTAAGTGAACATTGAAGAATACCATGTAAGAAAATGGGTGACTTTTCATAAAGCAACTGCGTATAACCAACACCAGATCGAGAACTAGAACGTTACACCGACCCCCTCCCCCCGCACACACACACCGGCCCTTCTCCCAGTCCAGGCTGGCCCCTCTGGTGTGGTCCTCACACGAACCGAACGTGCAGCGTGCCCTCCTGTGGCGTTCCGTTGCTGTGTGGCGTTCACTGGATGGAAGGCGGTTGTCCCTTCTCCTGGTGACAGACGTGTAGGCCGTTCTCACGGGGCTGCTCTGAGTGTCCTGGTGGGGGATCTCTGCCCATTGCACATGCGCGCTGCTGGGACCAGCGGTGGGGGAGGCTTGCCAGGGCGCAGGGTTCACACTGGGACCCGGGTTCGGCCCGGCACCGAATGGCTTCAGGCTGTCCTAAGTTACTCTCGCCGTCCCCCCTCACAAGAGCTGTTACTTCTTGCCACTTGGCTTTTGGTGGACTGCGACGCATCTCGGCTGCCGTGTTTGTTTCTCTCAAGTGTCTGGGCCAAGTACTCGGCACAGCTCGTGAACATGTAGCTAAATTCGTTGTCAAGTTGAGTTGGGTCAGTCAGGGCTCAGGAGGCGCTCCTGGGAACAGGCCCCCACGCCTTCCCCTGGAGGGCAGCTTGCAGGTACTCGGGGAGGGTTGTGTGTCTGGGTTCCAGTTCCGGGTGCACAGAGCTTTCCTCAGACTTGAGGACGCACCCGGCAGGGAGACGGTTTGCGCCCAAGGAAAGGCAGCAAGAAGGTGGTTCCCAGTGAGAGTATCAAGGAGCAAGGGCTGTGTGCCTCTGGGGCCGAGCACATGCCTCCGAGACACCACACCGGGGGAGTCTGCTTGGCAGGAAGTGTGCTTTCCAGGCTGGGAGGACGCAGGCGGCCTCTTCCCACCGCTGCCGGCGCTCTGAGCACGTGTGGCATTGCAGGGCAGGCATCCTGGTGCTTTTTAAATAAATTATAAATTAGCCTGTAACCGTCATAGAGTATGAGCGCTTCCCCAGAAATGGGCTTTCTCTGAGACCTGCTGGGGAAGTGCAGCACGCCTCGTAGGAAGAAACCACTTCGCAGCCATTTAAAGCCCTATTAGGATGTGCTGAGCAGAGCAGCTGCTTTGTGCATCAGTGATGAAAAGTAGACACTGAATCGGGGTGCAGGGCTGACTTGGGTGCCTCCTAATGCTGGCGCTCCCCATCGGGATGAGCCTGCTGACCTGCCGGCCCCAGGGCTCTCGGTCATGCCCTGAGGTCCTCAGAGGCACAGAGACAGCAGGTGCGGGTCTCAAGTGGCCCAGGTGCCCGCAGCCCCTCTTAAACTTCGAGAGTCTGTATGTCCAGCACCCCGGAGGAGCCAGGCAGAGAGCCCTGACCTGGGCTTCCGCCTCCAAGGATGGCCTTCGACTCCCAGGCTGGCAACAGGTGGTCAGAGGAGCTGTCTGGTCAGCGGTCACAGGAATCCTGGGAGCTTTCAGGACGGTCAGGTCTGGTGTGGCGGCCTGTGGCTCGGACGGTGTTACACTGCCCTCTCCTGGGCGCCGCCTGGAGAATTAGCCCCACAAGCTGGGGCCAGTGAGTTCTTGAACAGCCAGAGCAGATTTACAGCAATGTAAAGCCTGCAAGCTTACAGAATGAAGGACAGAAGGTGCATACGCCCCCCATGGTCCCTGGCCACACTGGGAGGCCCCCAAGTCCTGGGCTCTGGCGGTTCCTGAAGGCAAAAAACAGTGTTGGCATTGTTCCCTCTCCCCTCGCCTTCTGGAACTTCCTACCAGAGCTCTGGCCAGCTGTCGGCACAGTCTGTGGGCACCAAGACCCAACAAGGTCTTATTCTTACTTACTGTCTTTTGATGGCATCATTCAGGATTGGGCTCCAAAACCCACCTGCAGTCACTACACGTGTGCAGCCGAAGGACCATTGGTGAGGAGCAGCCCGTCCCAGCCTCCCTCAAATTCTGAGTCGTTCCAGCACTTGTGAGGGTCCCTTCCTGTCTTAGGTTTTCTGTTCTTGTCCTTACTCTTTAAGTGACTTTAGACACATTGAGATGGTCTCAAATGGACAGAGACTGGGGGGCGCTTTTTAAAACCGGCATTAGCCATATGTGGAGTCCCTTGTGCTTTAGATGGCTTTACCTTCAGGTCTTATTAAAAATGTCCCAATTTCATGAGCCTTCCATAAACTTCCATCTTTATCTATTCTTCACAGAACGATGCAAATGGAACAGCAAAGCCTCCTTTCCTCAGGTATGTTGACCTTTGTCCATGGGGCCTGTGCAGCCCAGGAGGCCCATCCCTGAGAGGCCTCGGGCCTGTGGGGTCTGAGGAGGATGCAGCCACCCTGTTCTCATCAGGCTGGGGAGGAGGGCCTGGAGGCTCTGCCAGCGTCTGCCCGGGTCCCAGAGGGAGGAGGCCTGGTCACAGGGGCGATGGGCAACTGAATCCAGACCCTGTCCTAGGTGGCTCTCCTGTTACAGCATCTACAGCTCTGGAGAGTTTTGTAACTCAGAACTGCCACAGAGAAACGTTCATGTTCACAAAGTGTCTGGAATTTTTTATAGAAGCCATAGATTTTCACAGTGAGAAGAGTAGTTCGTGGCTCTTTTAAAATCAAATTTCCATCTCGTAGTATTTCTGTAGCCGTGTTTTTCCTCCCCCTGCAGCGGAGAGAACCCCTTTGCTACCGTGAAACTCCGACCGACGGTGACAAACGATCGCTCAGCGCCCATCATCCGATGAAGGGAGGGCCCAGGAGCTCCAGTTCCTCCGTTAAGTTCTCACTTGCAAAATGATACAAGTTGTTTGACGTGCTGTAACTGTTGTAAAGCTTCGCCAAAGGGTGCCTGATTTTAACTGTATTCTACTTGAGCAAATCAATGCATTCTCTCAATTTAACATAGTTGTGTTGATACATTTCCATCTTTAAGAAGATGAAGAATAGTTTAGCTACCAACTCAGTCATTTAAAAATCTGTTCATCAGAAGACAGTAAATTTGGTTCCAATCCTTACTGTATCATTTTTAAAATATTCTATGATTTTTTTTTAATAGCCAGAGTAAGGGATAGTCTATGCTTTCATGACTGGGTTTCTGCACCTGAATGCAAAGGAGACCACAGTTTTATTTTATAAAGCATGTGCTCTTACCTAGCATTATGACATTTATCTAAAAGAAATGATGTGTAAATTTGCATCTTAGCATGCAAATCATAATTGTAAGCAATATAAATTATGAGACTATTATATAAAATTTAATTTTTAACTTAAAAATTTTAAATTGTTTAATCAGATGTAGAGTTACCTAAGATGGAGGAATCCCCAAGTTTCCTTCGGTTTAGACATACCTGAAGAGCGTGCAGACATTTTGCCTGACCCTGTCACAGCCATGATGTTTAGTACTCGAATAATCCCAGAGCTATTGAGTTTAGTAGTTTGGAGTTACGAACTCCCCGACTCAGTGCAGAGAAGACACCAGGCCTTGCTGCACGTGGGCCTGGCTCAGAGCGTCACACATGCGTGTGAGGGCCCCACGCGAGTGACCCCAGGGTGTTCTCGCTATGCTCGTTGATCGAAGCTGCCTCCCTAGCTAGTGTACTTCATTTCTGAAATCAGGTACTGACCCCCACTCCCGCAAAGAGCACGTAGATAGCCAGGACCTGAGTGTTAGTGGCTGGGATGGGAAGGTCTGCATTTCATCTGAGACCTGCCATCACAGCCTCAGAACTGGGAACTCTGAGCCAGTGGCCGAGTTTACGTCTGGCTGCCAGGGACTGGGCCCTGTTTTGGAGGAGTGCAGAATCAGGACGCACACCCTGGCCATTCACTGTGTGTGGGCGGAGAGGGCCTCATTTATCACAGCTCCGTTGGTCTCGCCATAAATATGAACATTTTTCTATAAACTTGAAAGTGGTCATGGTCAAATGCAGGTAAACCACTGGAAGCGTGTGACACCTCACGTTCTTGGTCCTGTCCTGGCTGCCAGGCGAATCGGGCGACCCCGAGGGCTGAGGAGTCAGACCTACGTGAGGGTCTTCCAGGCCGAGTTGGCAAACAGCACACCTGTCCTGAGAGAAGACGCTCCAGCCAATAAAGAAACCACAGTCCCATCTCGTTCAGCGGTCCCTGCTTCTCTCAGCATCTGAGTAAGAGGAGGGTTCGTGGCAGCTCAGTATTTGCAATGGGGGGGGGGGTGAGGCCTCCCTGACCTCCAGAGCTCTGCTCTTTGGGATCCTCCAGCTTTGTTACAGAGACTCTCAGGTGCGGTCTCTGCGGGCTCGCTTGGCTCGCCCGACCTGGTCTCGGCCTTCACAGACGACTGGTGGGCACTCGCCTGCCTCACCGAGGAGGGGAGGGCTTAGCTCAGGTCCTGGGCACAGAGGTGGGTGCTCTGTAAGTAAGTGTCAAGGTATTAGGTTTCGTTATATTAATAAAAATTTGGAAAGCACACTCTTGAGCTCTGTCTGCGGAGGACTAAGGAGCTGGATGCTGCTGAAGCCGGGCGATGGGTGTGGTGTTTTGGTCTTATTTGGTTACGGAAGATCTCAAACATGTCCACGAGTTTGTTTATACGAGTAGCAGTGTGCACACCGAGTAAACAAAACCAGGTAAACAAGGGTATGAATCTCATTTATTTAAAACAGTATTTCTCACCTTTCTCAAACTGAAGACTGCAAAAAATAAAAGCAGTGCTTTATTGAGCTGTCATTCACCCCAGAGCAGTGCCGCTGTGTCCCCACGCTGTGACCCCTGCGCCCACGAAACTGCAGCTCACGCTGTCTAGCCCGCCTCGCTTTACAAAACAGTCCTGAAAGCTTAATCAAATAAAGCTACTGTACACGACATTTACATTAGAAAAAGACAGCTGGATGTAGGGAAGCTGGGTGTGGTGTTCCTGTTAAGTGAAGTTTGCTCCACAGTTGGGGCATCTTCGCTTCCTCAAGGCAAAACAGCAGATGAACCCAAATGGGAACAAGATGATGGCCAAGAAGATGCCCAGGAAGGTGAAGGAGTCCTCCAGAACCCCGACTCTG